TCAAGCCTTTTTTCATAAGTTACATACTTAAATAGAAGGACTATATTACAAAATAACATTGTTCCTCTCTTCAATAAGCAATGAAAGAAATTAAAGACCCCCTTGAAAATAATCCTTGAAAAAAGTAATATTATAAAAAACATAACAATGAACTTAAGTAAAAGAAGTTTGGTATAGACATTGATATTAATATTATTTTTGTAGAGATAATGATGCTTCAACACAATTTTTGGAAAGATGGACTGAAAGGCAGCAGTCCAAAATAATTGATTGCAATACAAAGTCTTAGGATGTATTATCTAAGAGTTGGTATTATTAAAAATAGATTATAGTACATGGCTATAAAATAGCAAAGACATTATTTGTACCACTAATCAGAAATATGCAAAACTAACTATGGCTTTACAAGTCTAAACCATCAAAATATAGTAGTAATTATAAGACTTGCAAAATGCTTCCTCCACCTTCGTAAGCATGGAAGACTTAGAAGATGCATGTAGTAAGATTGATAAAATCCAAATACATTTCAAGGAATAAGATCTAGTTATATTATAGCACCAAGAAGATATAGTGGTATTCATCTATAAGCGTACAATTTCAAAATGTGATATGTAAGCCTTACAAGACAAGGTCCAAGTAGCACAACAATAACAAAATAGTCTAAAGACAAGAAATTGCACAAGTTTGAAAGAAAAAATTACAAGCAATAAATACAAGATTATATGGGATAAAAAAGAAGACTAAGTCTATAATTAAAAACTTATAAATCTAATTCAAAATAGCAATTCAATAAATAAGTGGCCTTATAGTCATTGAAGAAAGTGAATCCACCACAATGGAATATGGTTAGATCAAATTATCTCTTTACGTAGCTAATCTTGAGAAAGAAAAATAGTACGCATATCCAATGTACTGCACAAGACCAATTTTTTTGCCAATGCACTTGATCTTAAGTAATCTTATAAAGATACAAGTATACCAAATATCTTTCTAGTAATTACAGTAAATCACAATGATTAGTTATAAATTTTGGACAATACCTCAAATCTTGAGTGAATATGACATATAAGAAACTTAAAAAAAATTCCAATATAGGAAGATAATGCTAATGGATTGACATAGGCAACAACTACTAATATATCCAACTAAACATTTACTCAATATTTCTAATGTACATTATAGCCATTTAAATAATAAGACTAAATAAGTAATAAATATAAAAGATATTATATTATAATATATTATCAATCACTTGAAATTTAATGAATTATATTCTATAGCCACAAATATTATGGTAAGCTTAATCTATATAGAGACAATTCGATTTTTGATTTTTGATATTTATCCTCATACATTTTACATGTAGTTTAAACATTGAAAGATATATTGGAGCATAGTCATTGTCCTATATCATTTGTATTATGATAAAAAATCTCCTTACAAGATTCATATATCATATTGTAAAACCATCCCAAGGACCTCTTTATACTACAAATATCATAAGAGTAGAATGAAAGATACCTTTGGAGGTGAAATATAATGTATTAAAAAAAAAAAAATCAACAACATGAGATCAATTAAAGATTTGAAAGCAATATTTGGGAGAAGATGAAAGAAACAATTACAATTTTTCTACTAAATTTGGTGTTCTAATTCTAATCAATAAACTATAGTTCGTGATCCAATTATTCACTTAAAGCAAAAAAATTTATAAAAATGCTACAATAAGTCTTCTATGTGCTTAATAAAAATTCACTCCAATCCAATTTAAAAGTTGGCCGCCAACTTGAAAGTTGATATAAATATTCCAATAGTGATTTCTCCTATTCCAACCCACTAACTTCAACTCAAAATTGGTGTAAAGCTTGATCTTTAAGTCTTTCAATACCATGCCAAATTTCACCTTGATCCGACTAGTAGATCTCTAGATATCATAGAAATCCTATCCAACCTCAAACTGCCAACTTTTTATACATTCTTCTATCAAAACCTAGATATCTCTTAATTTTACTATTGGATTATCACAAAATTTCACATACACTTAATACACCTAATTAACTAAGCATTTTCAAAATTTGAACTATAGATATGACACCAATTTTAGGAACTAGCCGAAAGTGCTACTCCTAATTGCATTGCATAAATCCCAAGTTGTGAATACAAACCTTGACTTTTAACAATAATTACAAAGTCCAATCAAATCCTACTAAACCTAGTCCTATGTCTCTGAGACAATCTCCAACCTAGCTCTCAAATCCTAATCTCTAATCTTTGAATGAAACCCTATTTTGCCCTAGGCGGTTGTTTTAGTATCTAGAGGTCTGATTTTGACCTTGTCTCACAAATAGTCAATCCCCGAGTATCAATCTAACCTATCCTTAAGGTTTTTTAGTCCAATCCTACTTTCAATTTAAGCTTAGTATCAACCATATTAATTATTTATTTCTTCTAACTTGATTTTATCAATTTATAGTCTTTCTAAGGTAATAAAAGAGTCTCTATAGCCTAGAAGATAAAAGTACTAATCAACCTTCAACCTACTAACTATTAAGATAAGAAAATAACCTAAGAGGCTTTTATAAAAGCCATGTTTATATACCTTGAATTATTATTGAACTAAGATAATTAGATATTAATTAGAAATTCAATTTTGATTATAGTTTCACTATATAGTTGTATTACATCACAATACTAGAGGCATAGCTTGAGCTTGAGCTAGGAAGATAGACTACTTAAAGTTTTACATAGTCACTGCATTAGACAATTGTGAAGTAGTACAAAGAGTATGATAGGTAGCAAACATGGTGAAACTTCGAGTAGAGTAGCATTAGACCAAAGGCCATGAATTCTCAAAGTATGTGTAATAAATAAAGTTCATTAGGAAATTAGTGTACATATCACTAATTCTAAATACTTTACAAAATTTTGTCTTATGCTTGATTGTTATTTCAATAGCTTAAGCAATATTTGTACTACCAAATTTCTATAAAAAAAACTAAATATTGGTCTTATGATCAAATGTTCTTTATACATATATACTTAAATATAAGAAAAATAATTGATTAATGATATGGTCAAAAATTAAGATCCAAAAACTAAGAATTGACTTCTTTGTATGTAGTTCTTATGAAACCTAAGCATTTTTTCTCTAAAATCTATATAATTATTGATAATTTTTTAAATTAGATATCAACTCTTCTAATTAAGCTAATCATTTTTATTTAATTGAATAAAAAATTAATTAATTAAATATATCTTATCATTAATATTAGTCTTATTTATTTTATTTAAAAAATAATAATAAAATATAAATTTTCTAATTAATCTTAATTCTTTCTTGATTTTTTATTGTTGATGGTTCTTTTGTAATCTTCTTCTTTTATTCTAACTTTCTGATTAATGTTCTATTGTCTCAAATTAAATTAATATTAAATTTTAAAATAGTTTTCTTACATTAATACAATTGAAGTAAAATGGATACTAAAAGCAATTTGATTGTGAAGTAAAATGTATACTAAAAGCAATTTGATTATAAAGTAATGATACTTTTATAAAACATTATATATATATATATATATATATATATATATATAACATATTTTTAGATGAATAAAATATTTTTGAGGTTTTAATTTAATAATATTTAAAATAAAGAAGTAGATAAATTTAAGAATTGGCATATGTAAATTATAGAATAAAATTATTTATAATTATAAATATAGAAATAAAATTTATTACTTCATATCAAATATCATTATTATTTAAATTATATTAAAATATAATTATGATTCTTAATTTATTTTTTATCAAACAAAAACAAAAAATAAAAAATCTAAAAACTTAATTTTTTGTATTGAACTAAGTTCTACTGAAAAAAGCATTTTTGAGGCTTTAGAATTTGTAAAAAAAATCTTAAATTTTAAAATTAATGTTACTTTAAAAAAAAGTCTTTATAAACCACAATTATCTTTTTGAAAATTACACAAAAACTTAATCAAAGGCAAGATTGTGCAAACACAAGCTCAAATAGATAACGTCTTATCATAAAGAATTATATATATATTATTTATCTTAGAAAGAATTTAAAATCTTATTATCTTGCAATATTAGATAATTTGTACAATATAAATAGATAGATCAATTGATAGATAGAACCACTTAAAAAGTACTCGTTTTTACTTAGATAATTATATTTATAAATATAATTTATTTTGGTGTTTTTTCAATTCAATTTAATTTATTTATTTATAGATCTATATAACTGCATTACAAAAAATACAGTAATATACTTTTTAAATTTTAATTTTAAATAATTTTTTTAAAAAAATCTAGAATACTAGGAAAACTAATATTTACAATTATTTTGGAGTTTTTAATTCCCAGCAAAGATTTTTTTTTGCTTATTAGATCTTAAAGATACAGATTATTTATCCTTGTTCTTTTTGTTATCTAAATTACTAATCTTCATTTTAAATATTTTTTAGGACTTTGATGCTAAATCATGTTTTTAAACCAAAATCTACCCCTCAACAATTTGACAAATTTCATAGCAGGCAGAGAGAAAAAGTATATTAAATATATTTTTTAATTTATTTGAATTGCAACTAAATGCAGCGCACGGATCTGAAGGAGCTGGAGCCTTGGTCACCAACCTTTGACCTGCAGAGAGGCATCAGATCTGACGATCAAGCTTTAGAAAGGAAAATCGGTAAGAGTACACATTGGGAACTAAGTCAAGAGATTGGGTACAAATACTAGTGCAAATGAAACTTTGGTTGAGCAGATGCAAAATACTTGTCGTAAGAATCCAGGGAATTGCGCACTACAGTGTCACTACGAGGTTTGCAAGCAGGATGAGGCCAAGATTCAATGGAGCAGGTTCCCCACAGTGGTTCGCGTTTTTTCATTCCCTGTAACTGTCCAGGCGGCTGTCGCAAGACTATTGGAAGCGGCTTTTTGCATGGAAAAGATTTTAGGAACCTTCTTGAAGCGTCTGAGAGAAGGAAAAAGAATTACATTTATCCTCTTCGCCAAAACCTGTATTTGTCATACATTGTTCGTATCATTGCATCGCTGTCCCATCTTTCTCGAGTTCCCGAAAAATTTCTCATTAAACTCAAGATTCTGCTAACAGGGTGCTTGCCATTGAGCGTGATAGCTGGTGTACTGCACTCTCGTGTCTGTGGGGTTTGCTTTGGATCAATTTGCAGCAGAGATGGCGGTGGTTCCGAACAAACATGATCATCACGATCATCACAAGCATCACACCAAGGGCCAAGCACTGAATGTGTTCGACCCGTTTTCGTGGGACCCATTTGAGGATTTCGGCAACTTCGGTGCTCTGTGGAACCACGAGGCGGGGAAGGCGTTCCAAAATGACATGCGTGCGGTGGGAAATACCCGAGTCGATTGGAAGGAGACTGCTGATGCTCACGTCTTTAAAGCCGATCTTCCAGGTGATCAATTACCTCACCTCTTGCCTTGCGAAGACAAGCGATATATGATCGTAAGACAAACAACCATGTTTCCTAGCAAATTGATCTCTTTCTTCGGGATGCCAATTTAAAACTGGGATCATTGGGCGTGATTTTGTAAGCAGGTTTAACGAAGGAGGAAGTGCAGGTGACGGTGGAAGATAACAATACGTTGAAAATCAGTGGCAAGAGGGTGAAAGAGGGAGTGGACAAGAACGATAAATGGCACATGGTGGAGAGATTGCACAGCTCATTCCTGCGCCAGTTCCGCATCCCCGAGAACACAAACATTGATGCTGTCACGGCAAAAGTCGCTCATGGCGTGCTTACTGTCACCCTCCCAAAGAAAACTAGTTCCAAAAACTCCACCCCTCGCCACATAGATGTCGCTTAAACACAACCCCATCAAAAGCAGTACAGAGAGCCTAGCTTTCTCCTGATTCCAATACATCTGTGTGCCGTGACATGTCTTTCCGATCGTCAATGCTTGTGATCAATCGCATTTCGTGACTGCCTAGCAATATTGATTAGTGCTGGACAGGTGTAAGGTAATCGGCCAAATTCCTTGGAAACACGAGCCAGGTTTCATTGACGGCTAGCTCTTGAATCATGCTTGACATGTACTCAAACACATATTAATAAGCACGACTTCATCAAACTTTACTCACTTGACACGATACAAATATCGATTGTGTTTGTTGCTTGTCTTGTGATGAGCTCTAAAACAATCACTTGAATATGTGCAAAATGTCTAAGAACTGACCTGGTCAAGGTAAGCACTTGTTTAAAAAAACTCACAAATATGAAGACAAGTTTATGGAGGGTCAATGACATACATTCTGAACTCTGGCCCGAAGGGCAGTATCGAAGAATGATGCTACAACTAGGAACATTGACCTCCGCAACTTAAAAGAAAAAATTCTGACCCCGTCTTGAGCCAGGCCATGAACAGCCAAGGCTATCAACGGCCCAAAGGCAAATGTACAACCAGCTCACAAAGAATACACTGACCTTACGTGCTCACAAGAACCTTGGACGTGCCACCTTCATCAGCAGAGGTGCCCAGCTCAATCAGCACAAAATTCAAAAAAGCATATGTTTTACGACAAAGCATTTCAAAATGCCTCTTGGATTTTCAAAATTTAAATGCTTTCAATAGTGAAATATATAGTATTGTCTTACAATTACGATTATGTGGACAAAGCATTTCTAAAGAAGAAATGATTGAGAAAACTCTCTCTATATTTTCTCCTGTATCTGCTGTGCTTACACAACAATACAAGAATATGAAATTTCAAAGTCATTCTGATCTCATGTCCTATCTACTTCTTGTGGAGAAGCAAAATGAGCTATTCTTGCGCATTGAAGAAGCTCGTCCTATTTGAACTACAGTTCTAGAATTTCATGCACTTAATATTTCAAAGTCTAAGAAGAAATTATATAAACATGGAAAACGTACTCATAAGTATCAAGGTATTCATAGTCAAGACCATTTCTATCCATATGAAAAGAATAAACGTTCTACTATTAATTATAGTAGAAAACAAAAATCAGAGATATGTTCTTACCATAAGTGTGGAATGATTGGACATTTAGCACATGCATGCCATACTTCAGAATATTTTATTAAAATATTCTAAAAAAATAAGAAATTCTGAGCTAGGGCTCATGAAGTTCATACCATGGATGCGTCCATGGATTCAATTGGTGTTGATGACTTAAAGGCTTATATGAATGATAGAACTTCTAATGATTAATCAAATGATGCGTTCATTGATTATGCAACACATACTATCTTGCGAGATAGATAATTTTTTATTAAAAAATCTTCAACTTGGCAAACTAAAAATATAATGACCATGGCTAGAGCAAATGCGTTTTGTTTCTAAGAGGATACAGCGATGGTAAAATTACCTGCGGGTTCCATCATAAAATGTAAACATGCGATGTTTGCACCCTCAGCACCTCAGAGTTTGATCAACTACCGAGATGTGCGTATTAATGGTTATCACTTCTCGACCGCCTCTTTAAATAGAAAAGAGGTTTTGATTCTTGCGAAGAATCATAAAGTTGCTGAAAAAGCTTTTGTTATAGAAAATGGTTTGTATCGAATTGTGATTTGGCCTCCCATTATATTTAATTTTACATCATCTATCTCAGAGAGTCGTGTTTCTCTCTAGCATAGACAATTGGGACATCCAGGATCCACATTATTTAGAAAGATCATTCCATGTATAACTAGGCACAATTTAAAGCCTACAGATGTAGACTCTATGGAATTATATTGTGCATGCATGCAAGGTAAAATGATTACTCGGCCTTCAATTTGGAAACTTCCACAAGAATTACCACCAATGCTTGAAAGATTGCATGGTGATATTTGTGGTCCTATTAATCCAATATCAAGACCATTTCATTATTTTTTAGTCTTTGTTGATGCATGAGGTAAACAATCACATGTTTCATTATTATCAACTCGAAACATGGTGTTTGCCAATCTTATATCTATGCTTATTCGCTATTGGGCATATTTTCCTGATTATCCTATAAAAACATTACGTATGGATTATGCAAAAGAATTCGCATCAAAGTCTTTTGAAGACTATTGTACTGCAACAGTAATCGAGTTGACATATTTTATTCTATATGAACATGCTCAAAATGGACTTGCAAAGTCATTTATAAAGCGTATACAACTCATTATCCGACCACTCTTTCTTCACGCAAATCTACTTGCATCTATGTGGGCTCATGTAGTTTTACATACATTAATATGCCTCTGCCCTTCTTCTCTTCATATTGTTTCACCACATGAGCTCATTTTGGGTCGTGTTCCAAAGGTATCTCACTTACGAGTATTTGGTTGCCGTGCTTGGATTCCAATACCAGAACCTCAACGGCGTACCATTGGAGCTCATCGACAAGAAGGCATAAATATTGGTTTTGATTCACCAAGCATTATTCGTATTGTTGATCCATCAAGTGGCACATTATTACATGCACATTTGTAAAATTGTCATTTTGAAGAAAATGTATTCCCATCTCTTCAAGGAAGAATATCCAATCAACAAAGAAATAAAGTACTCATATTTGAAGCACCAAAAATATTTACAATGAATCTCGATCCTGGAACATCTTTGGCAGAAACTAAAGTTGCTAAGATTTTGCATCTAAAACAGATCGCAGATGAAATACCTAATGGCTTCAATGATGCACCTAGAATTACAAGAGTTCCTATTAATGAGGCTCAGAATGCACGTGCTTAGATTACAGTGCCATTGACTACAATACCTCAAGTTATAACAACAACAATTAAAAAAACTCGTGGATCAGATAAGCAACCACATAAGAAGAAAGCTATAAAATTGACTAATCCTGGTATTATTTCTCAAGAAATTTCCACACATCTTATAGGACTACCAATTCATGATGATGTATCCATGCATAATGTACCTTCAATTCTTATGAAAAACAATCTTGGAATTGGAAGGAATAAGAACAAGTTGAGTAAAGAATTATCTATTCTGTATTGTACTACAGATGATATTTGAGACAAACCATCTATTATGGTAGATGAATCATTTGCATGTATGATTATAGAAGCCTTTTTTTGTGAGGAAGACGATCTTGAACCTCAAACCATCAAAGAGGTGATGCGTTGCTTATATTGATCAAAATAGAAAACTGCTATTGAGGAGGAGTATGCCTCTTTGTGTAAGAAGAAAGTCTTTGGTCCAATTGTAGACACTCTTACATCTTGCCCTGTGGGATATAAAATTGTATTAATACGCAAGCAAGATGCTCAAGGCCAAATAACCTGCTATAAAGCTCATCTTGTTGCTTAAGGATTTACTCAACGATTTAGCATTGATTATAAATCCACATATTCTCCAGTCATGGATTCAATTACATTTTGATATATTATTGGAATGACAGTTCATGCCACCCTTGAGATGCATCTGATGGATGTAGTAACTACATATCTATATGGTTCTCTTGATGTAAATATTTATATAAAAGTTCCACCTGATTTAAAAATAGGAACTTCAAATCAACCCGCTCTAGAAAAATATCATGGTATTAAATTATATAAGGCCTTGTATGGTTTAAAACAATGCGGACGCATGTGGTATCAACGACTTTGAGATTATTTAATTACAAATAATTTTATAAGTGATCCATTAATCCCTTGTTTTTTTATCAAACGAGATAAAATTGGTTTTGTGATCATCGCTATATATGTTGATGATCTTAACCTAGTGGGTACTACATCTGCATATGTTACAGCTACAAACCTACTTATACGTGAATTTGAGATAAAAATACCAAGAAAAATAACTTTCTACATTGGTCTTTAGATTATGCATCTAACAGATAGTAGCATTTTTTTCTACCAATGTATATTAAACGAATCTTGTGAAGATTTAATATGATTGATACTTATCCATTGTCCACACCAATGGTTGGACGTAGTCGTAATGGTCATGATCTATACCGTCCATGTGAAGAGGAAGAGGAAATATTGGGAGACCAATATCCATACCTTGTAGCAGTTGGAGCACTTTTGTATTTAGCTACATCTACAAGACGAGATATTGCATTTGCAGTTAGTATTCTTATAAGACATAGTGCACGTCCAATACTATGACATTGGAATGGCATCAAATATTTATTACCTTATTTAAAAGGTACTGAAGACTTGGGATTATACTACACACAATCCGTAGATCCAAAATTAGTTGGATATTGTAATGCAGGATATAAATCTCATATTGCAACAGCTAAATCTCAAACGGGATATGTATTCTTAAGACATGGAGCTACAATATCATGGAAATCAGTGAAACAAACAATAACTACAACTTCATCCAACCATGCAAAAATTATTGCCTTACATGAAGCATCTTAAGAATGTATTTGGTTGCGATCAATTGATAAATTCATTCAAACAACCTGTGGATTTTTATATGATGATTCTCCAACTATCTTGCATAAAGATAATAGTACTTGTATTACACAGATGCAAGTTGGTTTAATTAAAGACGACAAGACAAAGCATATTGATCCAAAGTATTTTAGTTATACCCATGACTTGATTATTGTTCAAGCACTTATAATTAAGAAAATTGAATCTACAAATAACCTTGTTGATCTCTTTACCAAAGCTCTCCCATTAAGCAACCATCATAGACTTACTTATGGCATTGGTATGCGGCGACTTGCTCTTCTTGAATAAGAAAGTTAATGAGCTCTTTAAATAATTAAAGAAAATGATGTTGTACTCTTTTTCCTTCATCTATGGTTTTGTCCTTAAATAAAATAAGGTTTTCCTAGACAAGGTTTTAATGAGGCAACAATTGTTGAGCTTGCAAGATCACAAAAAAGTATAGATCATAATTCTATACAAATTTTATATTATATAAATATTATGATGAGCGAGGAGGAGTGTTGAGATCATTAAATATAGCCGGCGCTCTGCATAACATTTACTATAGAATACAATAAATACTACAGCTATAGTATTTAGAGTCTAGTGGAGAAGTACTGTTTATCCTCTCCCCTTTTTTTCTTCTTATATACGAAACACAACCAAATCAACAGATTTTTTTGTGTGAAGCTCTCTCTCCTTAGAAACCCTCTAGTCTGTATGACTTACTACTCCTCTTGTCTTTATGACTTACTACTCCTCTTCTGTGTGTATGACTTACTATTACTCTTGTGTCTTTCTAAACATTCTCAACACTACTCTTGTGTGTGTGTATGACTTACCTATTACTCTTGTGTCTTTCTAAACATTCTCAACACAGCAAAGCAGTTGAAAATGAGAGCACTTCTCTAGAATCTCTGTCCCTAAGATTCGGCGAAACCTTGTCATGGACTTAGTGCACATCTTTGCCTTCATTTTTCGAAGCAACTGAGGGGACATTGTCGGTGCATAGATGTTTTGGAGATCCAAGTACCAGGAAGGATTCAGCTATGAAACCGTTGCTATACTGAAATCCCCTGAAGCACTGTAAGTGGTCTACCCAACTATTTCATTTGCCCTCTCGGGTCTGTTCCTTTAAGTCTCTGCAACTGATTCGTCCATATGTAGCCACAGCCGTCTGTTATATTCCTGGTATAATCCCGAGATTGGCCACAAGTCTAAGAGCATTGAGACTGTTCTCAACTTTAGCCCGACTGCATGTGAGGCCTCGAGGCCGTTCATTACAATCGACAATTTTCTGTCTGTTCTTCTCAAGATAGAATTATTCACTGTCCGATAATTGGTTTATTCTGTCCAGGTACTGACTCATTTGAGTTTGTTTTATCTCAGTACAGAACAGTTTATCGTGGAGCGCACTCCACCCCAGGTGAGTCCTAGCTTGGATTGTGACCACTTTTGCAACTTCAAAAGACTACACGGTTCAACCAGGATCATTTCTTCACACAGAAATACTGCAATATACATTTACAATTAATTCATTTCTTGCCAGGCAGTGGACGCCGGCCCCTGCCAGGCGATTTCTCAATTTAAGTATGCCTTCAGCGGAGTATGGAGAAGTGATGCTAGGGTTATTGGAATTTGCCAACTCCAATGATCGGATACCTTCGTTTTTAAAAAGTCGTCGTCACTGGATTCTGTCTAGGATCAAAATAGCTAGAGTTATTTGTAGCTTAAGATTCAGATTCCTGCAGCTCTTGGGACACTATGTACTGGTCATTTAATTGTCCATGCAACGTTAGAGCCACAACTGCCTCACAACTTATTGGATGAACTAATATACACACGATACTCTGACGAGAAGAAACCTGCTGTAAGAAAACGTAGCATGTTCACATTGCACACGGCAAACATGTAAAAATCAGTGTTGGAGCAAGACCTCCGACAGATCTCTTTACCAATGGAATGATCCTGCCTTCTCTTCAAAGTGTTAGGCATGCCTTGCCGTATTTTTTCGCACAGTAATCGGCTGCCATATTACTCGGCTCGACATAATTGTACTAAGCATTTACTTGGGCCGTGCAAGCTTGCCCCAGATATCATTTGGTCTGACTTTTGGTTTGTCACAAGAATTGTTAGATGGGTTACGGGCAGATATGCTTTCATAATATTTACCCACACCTGAATTGTGGCTATCCAATAAATATTGCGCCCCCGTCAATTTCATGAGATTACACAACTTGGAGTCCACCTGATTGAGCCTCTGCCGGAACTGATAAAAAATATTAGTGGACGGTACTTGAACGCTGCGCGCTTGATTGTAAGTACGTTCGGTTCCATACTCGTCATCCTGAGTGTGGAATTGCATTAATACATGCCGGAGATACAATACCAAACTAGGCCTAAACACATTTAGTGGATCATTTAGATATCATCGTTCTCACGTGGGCATGCCCGAACTATCATATGATCACAACAGTCTTCGCAACATGAACTTGTAAAGACTTCATAGCATTGCTAAAGTTTGAGATATTTACGGTTGAATTGGAAAGATTAATGCTGAGAGAGAAAACCTTGATTAGTTGGAGCAGTAACGAGCCATTCTGTGTGGTAGATAATAGCTTAACATCCTCAAACTCTTCCATTAAGGCCCTGAATGAATTGTATGTCATCAACATCTCTTGAGATTGTATACGAGCACAGCGTTGAAGTATTGGTCAGCAAGCAAAAATAACCTAGATGTATGATATATAAGATTAATCAAATTATCTACTAAATATAAACAGTTATTCAAAATTTTCATTACATTTTGATTTCTGAATGTTATTAAATAGATTTGTTCGATGCGATTGATCATAACAGTAAGCTCATCACAATACGAAAACTTTTTGTATCCAAACTTACAGAATGATACAAAGAGGAGCGTAAAACACGATTGCTAAAACAAGAAGGCTAGCCAACGATGAAAAAATTGAAGAGATTCGGACTTAGGTTATTATAAGAAGAATCTGACCTTAGATTTGTGCAGTCCTTGCCGCAGTAAATCATCAGATATTCCTCCATCATCGCCCACGCTTGCCTTACTGTTTCATCAAACTTTGCTCCCCATGAAACACCCTTCTCCTTGTTCAACAGACAAACTACTCGACCTGCAACGGCGAGCCGTATAAGACCAAATCAACAGCCCAACATTCTGAACTTGTAGTCACTCAAACCTCGCAATTCAACAACCCTGTCAAGAATACTTTGTTCTGAGACCTTGAGTTCTTCATGAGGGCAGACAGAAACAGTGCTAACCGAGTGAAAAAAAGAAATAAGAAATAAAGAAAAGCAAGTCTCAAGCTCACCCATCTTGCTAGCTAGAAACTGCTCTTTAGACACATCGCAATGAGAATAATGGCCAAAGCAGTACAGCTTGTAGCCTATCCAAAAATCTCGAACGCTGTTTCAAAACAAAAGATGTCAATCCAATTGACTTCTCATAACCCTTCGTATAATGTCGAATAAAAACCACTTCAATTAAAAAAGACTCTCAATAATAATTGAAGACCATAATCCTCATGTACATGACGTACATTTCCTCAACTGAATTTTTCCTAAAACACACTGGATACATTCATTAACCTGAAATACATGGTGTCAAGGCAACCCTTCACTTCGTGGGAGCACAATTCAGCTGACTGTGCTAGGGTTCTACTCGGAGTACTTGAAGCTTCCTCATCAACAAAACACTCTTGCTCAACATTGAAACTCCGGGTGGATACGCGGGACGGTGCAGCAGCTTCCTCGGCGATTCTCCTCACATTACTAGTAGATTCTTCTACAATTTGACATACTTGCTTAAAATTGGAAATCATTGTAGGCTTGCCAATCGGTTCAACATCCTCTGGTTGTAATCCCGTCAAGTTTACAGAATGTCCCTCATAAATGTGAGGTTCTTGCTCAGTTCGACAAATCCTACTAGGTTTGGGAATCGGATCAGCAGCCTCTGCTTGAAGCATCCTCAAGTTATCAGAATGTATCTCGTCGTTGTAACGTTCTTGGTCAGTTCGGCGAATCCTGCTAGGCTTCGGAATCGGTTCAGCAGCGTCTGCTTGGACCCTCGAGTTCATGTCAACAGAAGCTTTCTCCTCGTTGTCATATTCTTGCTCGATTATGCAAATGCCAGCAGGTTTGTGGGCCGGTTGAACAGCCTTTTCTCGAATTCTCCATATATTACTAGAAGCTTGCTCATCAATGTAACATTCTTGCTCAATATTGCTAACCCTGCCAGGTCTGCGATATGGAGCAAGAACAGGTTTGTGAATCACAGCAAGTTTTCGGCCGATCACAGTACCTACGAGTTTCTCGAGAAAGATAGTTACAGCGAGTGCAGAAGAAAAGAATAATTAATATTGATAATAATAATAAAATGGTAGTACAGCATAGAACTGTGTGTTTAGTGTTTGGAGTCGAAGTGTAGGAATCTGACCAGATGCATATGGAGACAAATCAATGACGGAAGAGGTCGAAGCGGACGCAGGAGAGCGAGAGGACTTCCATGCAACTGAATGCGACGACGACGATGAGAGGAGGCCCTCGACCAACGAGTCCACCAAGACGACATACCCAGGGGGAGGATCGAAACGAAGGCTTTCACCTGTTACCACGCGCTCAGTTCGGCGAAGAATGCGATCCGCCAGCTTCCTAGAGTTGGAGTCGGAGAGGAAGATCTTCTTCGCGACGGACCCGTTAATGCAGCGGAGAGTGAGAATGCCGTCGTATTTGCGCTTAGAGGAAGAGATGGTGTAAACAACGTTCCAACAGGAGCCGTCGGGAGGCGATGGAGGGGAGGCCATAGGGGTAGGCATTCGGCTTCGAGGATTCCAGGCAGAGGCGGAGCAGAACACCGAAGCAGAGCAACAGACGCAGGATTGAAATTGAAATTGAAGGAGAGCGGCGCGAGCTGCAACTTCAAACCTCTCGTTAGGCAGCGTTGGGATGAAGATGGCATGCCTTCCCTTGTTCATCCGATTTTGGATGAATGTTTCTTCCTTCACGAATGAATGAACATCCTAACAGACTGTTGAGAAACTATTACGTCTTGACTTTGGACCTCCGGATCCTATACTCACCGCTTGGGTTAAGGTTGAAAAAACAAAATTTATATGTATATATGCGCATTAATCCATACTAACAGGAAAATTTGCTATTGAGAAAAAAGCTATCATACTTAACTGCATTTTTTGAACTTATAATTTAATTTTCACATAAATTTTATTATTAAAAATTTTGAGGTTTCTTTACCACCTTTTTATAAGGTAATTGATTTTTTTTACTGTTAGAAATTTATAATGATATAATGAAATATCACTTCAAAACATATATATATATATATATATATATATATATATAAACCCACTTAAAATGACATTAATAAATAAATAAATAATCATGTCAAGTATATATTTTGGAAAATGATATTTCCAACTCATGTTTTTACTATATATTATTTCTAAAGATTTACTAAAGGCAACTCATGTAATTTATGTGCCTAATATTTTTACCACTCCCACCTCATTTAAGAAACTATTAGAGTAGTTAAAGTTATTAGAGCTATGCACTACCTCATCTCAATGAAGTTTGTTGAATTTAAATATGAACTATGTATGATTGTATTATCCTTTCTATTGGTTGCACTGCTTATGATGTGCTTGACAAGAGTTTATTCTCAAATTCTTAACATATATTTTTTGAAAGTTCTGTGATTCTAGTATTTATACTCATGAATCCATTATTGATATTATATAAATCAAAGTGAAATTGAAACTTAGTTTCCTATAATTTTAGCTATTTGACCAATGCTACAGTAATCAAGTTAATTAAATATTTGGATATGTCTTTTTTTGATACTTACAACTATATGGTCGTCTCACCTATCTATTGTGGCAGTTGTTATTAAGTAACTTTTGTTGTTCATTGGTTGTGATTAAGTATTATTGTACAATGATATTTGCTAATACACTAATTTTACTTTATGAGATGATTAGTTTAAGCAAGAACCTAAACCTTAAGTCAAAACAATGTATATACAATAAAAGAGTTACATTATAAGAAGACTTAATTGTTAAGTAAAAATTAACTTTTGTAGAAGCAAGTCAATTTGCTTTCCATCAAAGACATAAGCCTTGGAAACAAACACTGTTCTTTTTCAATGCTACTTTTTCTTTCTATTGCAAATCAATTTATAAATAGTGAAGAATTATTGAAATATGTTTGTGAATTTGTGTTTGATCAAACATATACTATCAACATTAGATATTCGAATTCCAATTGGCACAAAATAATTGCTTATGATAAAAGTCGACACTATCAAAAATTCCTTAATTTAACAAAAAATATATGGCTACAAAAATACTAGTATTTGTTTAATTAATTATTGTTCTTAATTCACTTATAATAAAAAAACCAAGGATATGTGGTATTTGATAGTTAAAAATAGAAATCATAATCACAATACTTTGTAAATGATATAAGGATATTTGATGAGTTTCTATACTTCTTATAGAAAAATTAGAACAAGTCTAATAAATATTGGTATTGAAAATTTGACCAACTCAAATCCTGACATTACTCTAAGATTAAAATCCAAGCATCATATCAACCACTCAAACTACATACAATACAAAAATAAAAGTTTATGAACAAATGTTGAATGGACAAATATCAATTCAAGTCCTTATTGACTAGTTAGAAAATGGCAAATACGCCTGTGACATAAAATGTGATAAAATTAGATAAATTACTTATTTATTTTTTATAAAAAAATTAGAAATTAAACTTACTAGAAAGAATAATGTAATATTTTTAATGGATTGTGCATATAAGACCAATACATTTAAAATGCCATTGGTTCATATAATTGGCATAATTTCAAGGATAAGAACTTAATAAAAGCAATTAAACAAGTGAGACTTTATTAAAGAAGTATGACAAAATAGAAATAAGAAAGTATGCATATTAAAAAGAAATTAGAATGGCTATTGCAAAAAGACAAGAAAACTAAAGACTTCTTAAAATTAGACTAGAAGCAAGAAAAGAATTGACAAAAGTAAAGAATTTTTTTTTTTTATTTAATATATATTATTTATTTAAAAAATATGTGGTGACATTCTATATGATCTTTAAAATGGATTGACTTTGCATGATATTTATTTTAACTTGTAAGACAAGTTTTCTATACATATGCCACATAATTAGCTTATTCTACAAGCTATCAATACATGTAGCATGTGATTAATTTATTGACCAAGTTTCTAATCTACCAATCAACTACAAATACGTGTAAAGTCAAAGTAGCATCTATAAAGCTTCTAGAAAGCTTCTCTAGAAGATATTATGAAATTAATCTAGTTTTATTTATTTCTATCTATTTATATACTTAGATAATAATTACAATAATTAAATATCCATGATATTATCTTCTCTTTTGGAAATGAGTTCTACAAAGAGTAGTGATCATATATTGAAGAAGTATAAGATATAGCTAATTGTATTTGCCAACTACTCTAAACTTTGTTTCTTTCAAAGATAGTTGATATGTACTCTAAGCCATCAATAATGTTCCTTTCTAAGGTGAGAAGACCACCCTATTATTTAATTATTTTTGAGACTTTTATAATTTCTTTCAAATAATATATTTGTAACACTATTAGGAGTCATTCCTATTTCCAATAAAATCACCAAACATTGAGCCTCTCTTCCTAGATAGTGATATCAAACATATTGTATTTCACCATCTATTCAATAAAAAACATGTTGTTCTTAAAGGTCTTTATCTTTATTACATCATCTTAAAAGCAGTGATAATCATAATTTCTTGTCCAAAACTCAACAAATAATATCTTTTCAGTTGAATTTATCAAATGTTGATTTTCTATCTTCTTAATATCACAATTATACAAAAATTACAAAAAAATATAAAAAAAAATAGAATGAAATATTTCTTAAATTTTATTTTTTTTGTAGCAAAGATTTATTATTTTTTATTTTGATTTTGATAGATATTATTGATGAAAAGCTTTGACCTTCTCTGCTACATTTATAAGATTTTTTTGCTAACTTCTATGTATGTTTGCTAATATTGTATCCACACCAATGAATAAGATATTTCAATTTAAGTCAACATTTCTTTGAATCTAAGACTTCTTCCACCTTGAATTCTTGATTATTATCTACTTCTATAAGAAGCAGTTATATTTGTCTTCTTTTCAAGTTATCCATTGTCTTATATGGCTCCAAAAGAAATACGTAACATACGAGATGGATTTTTATAGACTCCAATAGATGTAATAGATAAGTAGTTGGATTAACTTATTTAAAAATAGGAAATAATTTAAATTTATAATAATCCAACTTATTATAAAGGTGAATAGTTTTAATAATATGATAAAATAATTATACCTTATTATTAATATAGAAATAAGATTGTTCCTTGCAATAGACATTTGCATTACTATTTTGATATTCTTGAGTGTCTTTTAGTCATACCTTCATTGTTGTATGTAGCTCAGATAAATGATTTGTCAAATCTTTTGTCATAAGATTATCAACTTTTAAAAAATCAAAAGCATTAAGTTATAAATGATAACCATAATTAACAAAGAAAGGTGTTTATTACATAAAAGAATGTATTATTTTAATATAAGCAAATTTTACCAATGATAAAAATGTTGTCCAATCATCTTATTGGTAGTTGATGGTACACTTCAAAATATTACTCTAAAACTTGATTTATGTGCTCTACTTGTCCATTAATTTGAAGATAGAAAGTTGAAGATAGTATAATATTGACTTTTAGAATCTTGAAAAGCATTTTCTAAAATCTTCATACAAACTGAGTTATTCTATCCGATATAATATCTTTAGATAATCTATAATAGCAATAGATATTGTCAAGGAAAAGTTTAGCTACTTCTTTATCTATAATAGATTTTGTATATAGTACAAAATATGCCATCTTAGTGAAATAATCTACTATCACAAATATATAGTCACAAAAACTTGACACTAAAAGATCAGTGATAAAATCCATAGAAATAAAAGACGATGATTATTCTACAATGGATAATGGCTAAAAAAGCTTTTAAGATTAATGATGAAGAGTTTTTGATCTTGAATAAACATTAGAGGATTGTATAAAATCTTTGAAAGCCTTTTACATTTGGAGCTATCAAAAATCTTTAGATATTAGCTCTATAGTCTTATTGTACTCAAAATATCTTGCTATTAGAAAGTCATGACAAGCTTAAAGATCATGTAATTGAGCTTCACTTTCTAGAACACATAAGCACTATTTGAAATATAATATTTTGTACTTAAATTTAAACTTAAAAGTATCATGAGTCTTTAAAAAAAATTCTTTAATATCACAAATAAGAAGATTAGAAGGCACACTTGATTGAACTTACTTAATAAAAATTAAATCAATAATTAGTGTTGATTTCATTGCTTAAAGATGAAGGTAATTTTTCTTCAAGAAAATTATCCATTGTTCATCAAAAATGGCATCTCTTTCAAATAATGCAAAGTAAGATCATTTAAAGAGTACATCTAAAAAATCTTATTATTATTTTAATTGATAAGTAATTTTAAATTCAAATCTTGACAAAAACATGATCTAGCACAATTGACAACGATTCAAAATATATGTTGACATAAAATATTCAAGGCTCTTATAATCCATATATACGATGACTAGACTAAGAGTCCTTTTTTGTTAATCATGCCATTCTTAAAATAAATCTATAATTATAAGAAATTCTTTGTCATGGTTCTTATAGTTGATCTTCGTTGCTAAAAATTTTTTAGAATAAAAAGCTATTGGATGAAGTTTATTATTTGTTCCTATTTGTAATAATATAGCATCTAAAGCAAAGTT